GACCTTATCTTGGCAACCGTACTAGGGCCCGGGAGTCGACTCAGCCTCTAACAGAAATGAGTACCAGGAATCTTCCTGGGGATAAAGGGCGGCCGGCGCATAAGGCTGACAACCTCACCGCCATCTGCGAGCCGATTGTCCAGAAAGTGTGGGAGCTTCAACATCTCACAACCCTATTGGACTCCACGGCCTGTTACAGGGATAGCTTTACCTTCTTTTAAGTTTCCATTATCTCACTCCAGAAGCCTGAGGGTCAAGGCACGTGAAAAGTTATGTTCATTCGTTCACGCGTGAGCCGACATGCACACTTCATGTATATTATATGTATAATATAATACAAGACAAACAAAAACACCAACTCCGTGATTTTTGTCAGCAAGCGAACTATACCGACCGAACGACCGCCGCTTGTCGGCGAAGTTAGTGCCAACTTTTGCGGAAAGAGGGTGTCGCGTGGTCAGCGCAACGAATCTCCACGGCCGTTAATCTTAGTTTTGTAATATACGTAAAGTACAGTGTGAGTACAGAGTAGCTTTACAACTTCTGAGGCATGTGATTTTAACATTGTAGTATACAGTCATTTGCATAGCACTAGTAATATAACCAGATGCATGTATTTTAATAGGAACCGGGACAGCGCAGTCGGTATAGCGACTTGCTACGGGCTGGACGACGGAGGGTTCGGAGTTCGAATCCCTTTAAAGTCAATTTTCTCCTCGTCGTCCAGACCGGCTGTAGGGTCCACCCAATGTCCTATCGAGTGGGTACCAGGGCACTTTAAGCAGACGAGGCGTGAAGCTGGCAACTCACCTCCAGCTAGTACCAAGGCCAAGAAAATGTGGATCTAAAAATCCACTCCTCCATATGCCTTCATGGCGTTATGCTACATTCGTTAAGCACAAGGACAGCTTTAACTTTATTTACCTTTGTGTTTATTTTAACGATAAGTTCTTCATGTTATAAGTATTGTTTGCTTTTACGGCTGTATGACCTTGATATAATTATAAACCAATTGTATCTTCTCTTTCAGGAATCAGCCATTATCATATGTAAAATTATATATCAGGGAGTATTCTGAAACATCATTTTATCCTTCAAAGCACAGTGGTTACTCTATGTTCCATATGTTCCTCCTGCTTTAAGAACTGCTTATTATTGATTACATGGAGCAAGATATGTTGCTCTGTTATTTAATAAAAAACAGATTACTTGCATTGAAGAAACCGTTTCAGTACACGTTTCTATCACAGAAAGGTAATTAAATGTTAGATGTTACCATAATTTGTCTAATTACTGATGCATATTGGTTTCTGTGTTTTAGTTGCTGAACTAAACTGGCTGTGATATGGCTGCAATATTTGCAGATGCTGCAGTGTTTGGATTCAAAGCACTTTCCAAAGAATGCTCTCCATCTTCATATGATGACAAATCAGTACCTGCTGCCACAGAAACCTTGACTAACATGGGAGCACAGGTATAGAATCTTCATATGATTCAGTGAATGTACATCCTTTCTGATGGGTTGAGGGAAGACTTTGTGCTTTATAAAGCACTGTAGATGATCATGTTTCCGTTCTTGGGTGAACCTGGAGCACGTGACTGTCACTGTCTTCAAAGTTAAGTGAAGAAAGAGCAGCTTGGTGCTGACATTTGCAATTGTGGGCCATAATGCATTGTGGAGTTCCGCATTTTGATTTGTGAAACACTAGTAAGCCAACCCTCCACAACACAATGTTATTACATTATAATGGAAACAAGTTTGAACATCGTGAATCCTTTAAAATTTTTTTATGGATTAGTCATCGAATTTGACGACTGTTTCAGGAGCCGTGCCCTTGCACTCAGCAGGACTTCATAATTTTTGCAGAGTTCTCTGAAGTAATGGGCCCTGTTCCACTGTTAACCATCCCCCTACGTGCTGAAGAGGTCACAGGCATTGAGATCAATAATTTTATCATGAGAATTATGTCTGTTGACTATCAAGCCAACCCAAGGTAAGTTGAGAGCCATAAAATGTACAGTACCAGTATATGTGAAATTAAATGCTGTCAAAAAATTTAATTTTCTGAAATAAGATTTCTCGAGTTACCCACTAGATATACTGTCATACTCCAAGTGACAAGTGAATGTATCTGAAGTGAGTTAAATATGAGTAACATCACTGAGACAAATATTGAACCATAAGAGGAAAATGTATTTCCCTCTATCTGTTAGGTTTCTAGCTAACAAAATAAATTATTTATAATACTGTAACATTTATGATCTTTGGGGAACAGTTATTGACTCATTACTAGTAACCACTTATGATCTTGATATCAGCTTGTCTAGCCCACCACTATTTCACTGTATCATTGTCTTACATTAACTTGCATCTTGTACTGTCAGCACTGAACTAACTTCTCGTCTCACCATACACACTTTTACTGTCACCATTGCACATCTCTGCTTCTGGCTCGCAGTGAGACTTGACTTTTTGTCTTTGCCTTATACCAGTTATTTCTAGAAAAGTCTATTGTACGCATGAGGTGACCATGTGTTTGGCATTTATTAAAATATCAAGGAGAGTGGGAAGGTCTGGAAATTTTGATGAATGAGAGGTGTGTGCATGCTGGCATGTGACCTGCCTCCCTCATCACCAGGTGCTCAGCTTGTGTGGCAGTGTCTTCAGGCTGAATCTCCCAGCTTAGCGACTTATAATACTATTATTGTAAATGTTTCAGTTCTGAATTTAAGTTTTATGGTGCTTATGTTGTTGTTGCTGCTGTTGTTAAATGTTTCTAAATTAATTATTTAAGCTAATGTATGGCATATTGTGATGCGCGTATGTATTTATGTGTGTGCATGTGTGTGAGTCCATTTTGTTGTTGTAATTGTTGCCATTATCAATACGCTCATCATAGTCTTAATAATGTATTGTCACAATTTAAGGGTGTGACTAGATGGGGTTTGGATTGGTGATTGGATTTATTGACCACTTATACACACCTCTCAGAACTACAAGTTATTACAGGTCTCTTGCTAATCTCCACAATTCACAAATCACAGCAGCACCCACTAAGCCTTTTCCAGCTTGTTGTCTTCACCAGCTGTTCCCTAGCAACGGCTTCTAAGAGTGGAGGTTCTTCAGATTCCTGCACTCATGTCGTTACTGTCCAGCGGATATACTGCAACTGAACTCTTGTCAACTGTCAACTGTCAACTATAGTACTATCTCTTCTCGGCCTCCCTTGCAGAGCTCGACTCAACTGCCAACCCTGAACTGAACTCAGTCACCAACCAACTTCTTCACTTCACTCAACTAAACTGCACTCAGCTGACCTGGGGTCCTCACTATATAACCTTGGGACGGACCCAACAGAAAACACCGTTCCCGTCTTGTTGAGCAGTTCTTCATTTCTGTGGGAACATGTTTACGGACCCATTGCTTAGAAATGTGTGTTCCTTCTTGCGATCATTCCATAGCAATGGCACTACACATTACAATGTTATTGTTATGTTGTTAACAAAAACGAAAATGACAGTTATTGCTATAAAGTCTGAAAAGCAGACAGTCTAATCAAATAAGGCACAAAAGGTAAAGTAAAGGAAGAGGAATAATAAATGTTTAGTAGATTGCTTTTCACTGTTGTATGGAGAATGCTCAAGCTGTGGTGTTTAAAGAGCAGGGTACAGCTCATAAAGTCAGTCTTTCCTTAATGTTACTCTCAACTTTACATAGTATATCCTATTTCACAAACAGGCTCTGGTAACTCAGTTGACTAATAACCATCATGCCTCATGTTTAGGAACTGTCACCACTAAAATTTAGGTTAGTCTTAGTTTGAATTGAATGGGCATACAACATAATATGTTTTGATTTTTTATGAGGTAACAGTCTGACATTAAGGAAAGAACATAGACTGAGGGTGTTTGAGGAGAATATTTGAACCAAAGAGGGATGAAGTGACAGGAAGTTGGAGAAAATTGCATAATGATGAGCTTCCTAACTTGTACTCTTCTCCAAGTATTAATTAGAATGATCAAGTGAAGGAGGATGAGGTGGGCAGGGCATGTAGCACAAATAGGGGAGACAAGGAATGCATATAGGATATTGGTGGGAAAGCCAGAAGGAAAGAGACCATTGGGAATACCAAGGCATAGGTGGGTGGACAATATTAAAATGGATCTTAGAGATATAGGATGGGATGATATGGATTGGATTGATCTGGCTCAGGATAGGGACCAGTGGAGGGCTCTTGTGAACGCAGTACTCAACTTTCGGGTTCCATAAAATGCTGGGAAATTCTTGAGTAGCTGCAGAATTGGCGGCTCCTCTAGAAGGGCTTAGCTCCATGAGTAAGTAAGTAAGTAACAGTTCTAGGCATAACTTTAACAGTTTGGTGTCTTCGTGCCAATGAGTGAACCAAACTCAGGTTGTGCATGAACCATGAAACCATTAATTACAGGCCTCTAAAACCTTAAGCTACGAATACATTGCATCACTAATGAGTACTTGTTTTTTATTACCACAGCCAGTCTGTGTTCTGTGAAGATGCTCAGGTGCTTCAGATGTCTGTAATGTCTGGTCTCCACGCATATGTGCATTATTTGACTCTTCATGACCCAGTGGCCAGAGGATTTGTGAGACCCCTCTGTCTCGCGTATGTCACTGCTGACCAGCATAAGTTATCACATATGTTTCCAAAGCTCAGAAAACAGTTCTTGCAGGCAAGTGCTGCTAAAATCATATGTATTTGAATATGAGAATACTTCAGTTATAAGACAGTTGCTTATTTTTGGATAAAAATTAAATTAAAAATCATTGTGAGAAATAAGAGTTTCATGACTAAATATTTCTTCTGAGTTTTTATGCCATGTAATAGAAGAGTTACTTTTTTTTTTGTTTCATTCTGGTCCGTCACACTAACAATTACAAAGACAAAACAACTCCATCCAGTGTGACTATTTAAGCTTTACTATTTGAAAACTTAGCACCCTTACATGTTTCGATCCTTACGGATCATCTTCAGAGGGAACATCAATACTTATTTGGAAACTACTATCACAATAGGTGTTCTGAGTGCTAAATTACATACTCGCACTACCTGGAATACACAATATACATAAGATCCAATTTTTCACAATCACAGCAGCTTTCCTGGTTAAAGTTTTTAAAGTTTGTAAAACTTTGTTGTTTAAGTTAAAATTTATAAACCAAATAGGTTTGGGTCACTTCTCCTATCATCACACAAACCTACTTGGTTTATAAATTTATAAAGTTTTAAAAACTTTAACCAGGAAAGTTGCTGTGATTGCGAAAAATTTGATCTTATGTATATTGTGTATTCCAGGCATTGTGTGTATGTAATTTAGCACCCAGAACACCTATTGTGATAGTAGTTTCCAAATAAGTATTGATGTTCCCTCCGAAGATGATCCGTAAGGATCGAAACATGTAAGGGTGCTAAGTTTTCAAGTAGTAAAATTTAAATAGTCACACTGGATGGAGTTGTTTTGTCTTTGTAGAAGAATTACTCTTCTACCTTAAAGAAAGGGGCTGCAGCTTCCTCTGAAACATTGATGAATTTCTACTAGACTACATGGCATCACATCCCAGTAATTTTCATAAGGAACATTGTCTTGTAGTTTGGTAAATATAATACTATATGTGTTGTATATGACTTTTAACTCTAGATATAGTAAATGATGATTTATATGTGTAAGACTATTTCAGAAGTGCAGAAAGTTTTGTTACTTGAAAAACAGTTATTTTGCTTATAGTTTATCAAATGTTACACCTATAATGCAACAATCAATAGCATTGATTCACACTTTAATATCATACAGTGCATAAGATATTAAATAAAACCGTTAAAATATTAAATTATGAACATTTATTTTTTATATTGTCTGGGAATGGTGCTGAACCATGAAAATTTGAAATGGCAGTTTTTTAAAAGATAAGATTCTTCCATAGTTTTCAGCTGGCAATATTTATCAGTTGAAAGTTTTGAGTTTCATTTTCAGAAGAAAAAAAAATACATTTATCAGCCATTTCCAGAATTTATATGTACTTTTGATTCAGGGGTTAAATGTTCTGTTATTTTGTGCAACTGCTGTTCCTGCAGTGCAGGAGGGCCCTTACCAAAGTAGTCATGAAACTTATGTTTAGATTTCTTGTTTAAGTTATTTTAATTTCATTCTTTATATTTATTTTTTTCCCCCTTGGCACTACAGCCCCAGTGAGCCTAGGCCTACCTCCATGAACGTCTCTGTTCACTTCGGTTTTTCTCGATCTTAGACATACGGTAGGACTCCTTGGGCGGCTCGTTGCAAGGCCTCTACCTGTACACAAACACAGAAAAACGCACACACACAAACTAGACATCCATGCCCTGAGTGGGATTCGAACCCACAATCCCAGCTTCTGAGCGAGCGAAGACAGTGCACGCCTTAGATCGCTCTTATATTATTTTAGCTTGATATATTCTAAATTATTGGCATTGTTTTCCAGTCTCAGTACAACATCATTTGAAGAGAATGACTGCCATAGTTGAGGATGCTTGTTTCTGCTAATGCTTGCTGTTTTTGCAGCAGTACCATGCAGAATAAAATTAATGAAACTTTCCTGCCAAGTTCAGAAGTTATGTGCTATAAAAATAACATCAAAACAAATGTGTGATATTAGGAAGCATACTGTCATACTGTGTGTAAATGATTATGTGGATGTTATTCTCCATTCTTCTTTTTCCTCCACAAATACTTTTCTTATTCTCATGCCAACCCTTCGCCTCAACTGTTTTGTATGTCTTCTCTCTTTGCCAAGCCCTTGGTTTTCCTAATGATCATTTATTCAGTAACTTTATTTGTGAAATGATCAGAAGAATTCCATCTGTATACATTCATCTACATACAAAGACATTGAACTAAAAATATTCATGTAGGATTTGAAGTTCTCATAGCAGTGATTATAAAGAGGTCTGTCTTCTGGGGTATAATGCTTTATCTTCCATTGAAAGTCAACCAATATTTCAGAGGAACATGTTCAGTGCCTGCTTCTTGCTGGTTTCATGTTTGGTTACTCTTCAACCCTGAAGATGGCGATGACATGTTCCTCCACAACATCAGTTGACTTTCAACACACTACACCTGATTATATCCAAGAAGATAGAACCCATTTAAAAATATTCCTCTGATAAACAAGATTTGGAAAGACTGCTGTTTTCAAGGATGTAATGCTGTGTAGTCTGGTAGATATTTACCTGCATTACTGAGGAACCTGCCATAAGGTGCACAGGAAAAGCCATTCATTGTGGAAAAATTTGTAAATGCCAAATCATATGACATCGCATCAGAAAATATAGTAATCTTCATATACAACACCCTGATAACTACAAATCTCTTAAGTTTCAGAAATATATATGATAATCAAACTGAGTTATATTTTAGAAATTTGAATAAGCAGAATTATACATTATGTTGTAGGATAACTTAACATGCAAGTGTAATTGAAAGTACACTCAAACGCACCTACCATTCACAGATTTCTTTGTAGTCAGTTGATGTTGATTAAAATCTGATTTGTTTCGTTCTGGTCCGTCACACTAACAGTATTACAAATAATAAAACAATTCCATCCAGTGTGACTGTTGAAGCTTTTTCTACTTCACTTCTTAGCACCCTAACATGTTTCGGTCCCTATAGACCATCATCGGAGGGAACATCAGTGCTTTTAGAAACTACTATTACATTGGGTGTTTTGATTTTTAAAATACATAAATATACAATATTTGTGATATACACTTTATACAAAACCCAAATTTCTTACAACTACAGCAGCTGTCCTTGATGCATTAAATTTTTTTTAAAAAACTTTTTGTTATTTAAGTTAAAATTCTTTAACCGAATAGGTTCGTGTCCCTTGTCCTTTCGTTTTTCTTGACGGGGCCGAACTTGTACCACCTGTCTTTTTTGGGAAGGTAGTTCTTGTTGTCATCCTGTGTTTGTTCATAGCATGCTGTGCTAAGAAGTGAAGTAGAAAAAGCTTCAACAGTCACACTGGACAGAATTGTTTTATCATTTGAAATGATTAACATCTATTATGCTCTTTGCAGGTGACACAGGTTGTAAAACATGATAACAGGCTGTGGTTCAGGGAGGAAATTTTAGCAGTTCTTCATTCTATAAAGGAAGCACAAAATGAATATTTTTATTGGAAGAAGGTAAATGAATACTATTAAAAATAAAAAATAAAACCGTTGGAAGGGAGATGGTCCAAATTAAATTCCATTGTTCTGTCCTCTAGGAAAATTAATCCTGCACTCTTTACCAGTTAGTAACATGAATACTATGAAGGTGAACTGTAACCGATGAGGTTATCTCTTCAGTAAGGAGACACTTAACATCTATTCTTGGTCTGTGGTATCATATTTTACATTTTATATATTTTTACTCATTATTTATATGTGATTACAGAACTACAGAATAAACAGCTTGCGAGTAATGTTTATAAATCATCCTAGCATATTTAAAAAATACAGTTTTGTTTAAATTTTTCAAAGTGAAGTCCTCTTTGACAAGAATGATCTAATAGCATAATTTTAGCTTCTCGTAATAAGAATTCATTCAGCTTCCATTAAAAGCTGTTCAAGGTAATACTGAATCACAAATAGACGTTGAAATGCCAAGATGAAAAATGTAACCTCTTATGAGGCATTCTGTTCTGTGCTCTAGGTAAACATCAGAAATAGTTACAATTTTTATTCCATGCATCCCTCCTGCTCCTTCTCCTCCTAGCACCCCTACACCATCATCATCATCATCATCATCATCATCCTTGTCCTTTAATACTTCTACTTCTATGTGGTTTTTGTAGCAACCAGGCTTCTATATATCTGTGTCTTCCTTAAACTCCCCTTCCTCAATTTCTCCTCACACTCTACCTTCGTTTTGCATGGCATGTTTCCTAACCTGTTGTTCCAATCTGTACTTTAGGCTTCATCTTGGGCATTTATCATGTAGTTTCATGATCTTTTTATGATTCTGTCTTTATTAATTATTAAAATATTCTCATACCATATTGTTCTGTTATTTATTACCTAATCTTGCAAGGCAAGTATCTTTAAATTATTTTGTGGGAACATCCCACATTATCACGCATTTCTGCAACACTCGCTCTTCACATCACTTTTTCACCATCACGCGCGCTAACCAACCAGATTGCTTCAAACGTTCATATTTATACTGGGATCGCTGCTAGCACGCATCTACGTCATTACGCGCGCTAGCCAATCAATTCTTCCTCCTCACTTTTGAGTTTGGCTCTGCCCCACCGACCAGTGTATAAAAAGGAGCGACTCCAACGCCGAGTTATTCAGTCCGACTGCAGTCTACGATCAAGCAACACAGCAAGCAACTTCTGCCAGCAGGCTTCGTCGCCAGCGCTCGGTCTTCGGAGACATCGGCAGGCTGCGCCAGGCACGACTGCCTCGGCCCTCCGGCGCTCTCACACCCGACTCACTGGGGCACCGTGCCTGGACTCACCGGTGGTCGTGTTACTGTCCGACGCACTGGGCATCTGGCGTAGCCACTACCTCATGGCTCCTACGACTGCGCTTAACGACTCGCCTTTCACTAGCCTTTCACCAGCCATTCACCGTAACTAGCCTTTCTCCTTACCGGCGCGCGCCGTGCTACCTCACCGGTCAAACATCTCATCAGCCACGGTCCTTTTCAGGGCCAACAAACTGTTCCGAAGAAGTGGGTTGTCATAGGAGTAATGACAAGACTACACATATAGAGAACCCCACAATTTCTTTTTCAGTTTATATTCTCTCAATCCTGATTTTTCTTTCAGCACTCCTTAAAAAATCCAATTACAGCTGTTGCTGGTCCACTAGTATCTGTTTTATCTACAAACCATTATTAGGAAATTAGTAGCACCTGTGTAGCTTTCCCAGCATCTTCATCTTTGGTGGCTTTGATAAGTTCTGTGGTACATAATTTAATCATTTAAATTTTTATTATCTATTGTAGAGAGAAGAGGATGGATATGTATTGTCAGATGAAGGGAAGAAAATTTTGGAACAGACAAACATGGATCAGTTGGTCCAGCAGTCTACAGACTATGAACACATGTTACATGCCCTAGGACCATTACTGAAAGTAAATATTCTACAGTAGCTAACAAAATAGTTGAAGTCTTCTGCTAGTTTAACACATATGTTAATAGTTTGCATCCTGTTGTGTGTCTCAAATAAGATATAAAGCATACAAGAATATACCGCCTACACAACAACACTCTGTATTTTACAACAAATGAGACACTGCTGTATCAACATTTGTATTTTTAAAGCTTTTTATTTAACCTTTAATAAATACAAATGTTGATACAGTAGGGTCTTCTTTGTTTTAAGATACAGAGTGTTGTGTAGACGGTGTATTCTTGTATGCCTTATATCTTATTTGAACACATATGTGTTAAATGCTGACCTAGTTAAAATATTTCATTATATATCATGAGAAGGGTACCGTCATCTCGACCTTCATTCCTATTGTATATTAAAATGAGAAGGTCTGGAATGCAGAATACTTGAACAAATTAGTTCAGTCATAGTAACATCACCTTTTCTTTCCTTATTGAAGAAATATTTTGTATATATGTTAACATTGGGTTTTTAGATTTTATATTTGTAAGATCCTATGAGTTTGAAAAACTGCTTATAATCGAGATTGAAATTAGATAAAATGAAATGATATGCCTTTTATCTAGTTCTGAAATAAAAATTATGAATGGAGAAATGCCATAGTTATATTTACAATGTCAGAAATTGAAGAGAAAATTTAAAAAATGTCTAGTAGTATAATTTTATGTTTTTGCATATGGTCCAGCTCAATCCACGATCTTTGTCATCATTTAACACTACTGTAAACGTAAAATTAATATAATGTTCTTCTTTTATTTAGAAGACTAATTTCATCTCTGAACCAGAAATATTTTCAGTTACTGTTTTAATGCTTTCTGATAGTTAACTGACTGGTTTTATTGCAAAGAGTTTCATTTCTAAATCATTATGGATTAAACTTTAAATTATTTTAGCCTGAAGAATTTACATCATTGCTTCACATGGTGGAGAAAAAAAGACATATTTCTAATTAGATAAGAAACTACAGTAGCACAAAAAAGATAATATCAGATTGTTCATTCATGCCGTGAATTTTGTAGGTTGCAAATTTATAGCCTATAGGAATATTTAAGTTAATCTTTTATTTAACTGTGAGATATTCATGATATACTCTGTAGGTAGATGCTGGAGTGAGTGATATGATACTTGGATGCTGGAAGTGCGGATTTGCACAAGCTGACAAAGCAGACATGATCCTATCTGCACTCTGTCCTGGTTCTCATCATAAAGCGATTGGGAGTAGTGGAGAATCCTTGAGAGGGGTTTTGGCCCTCAGTCCATGGGGTCTTTCTGCTGCCTTGTGGAATCTGGTTGTTCTGCTGCGCTGCCATAGTGAATGCCGGCTGAAGCAATACTGCAAAACAATTTCCGTTGACGATGACCAGGTTTGTATGGTGTACATTGTCTTGGTAAAATTAATGAAAAGCTGCATTTGAATAATACCAAACACCCTTCAAAGTCATGTGTGTTCCTGCATTTTGAATTACACCTTCCACATTAATTTTTTTTTGTTTGTCAACCTTACATAGTCCTCCAGAATCTTCTCCTCTATGTGTAGTACTTCTGCAGTTTTATTGTGTGATATCCAAATTTGCTTTACACTTTCTATCATTATCCCTATCCCCTATTTTTATGAATGACCACACCATTCCAACCATATTTATTCTTTTCTATTTCTTTTTTAGTTGCTTTTACAATACCCACTTTCTTAATAATCACATGTTTAACTTTCTGTTGCCTTAACATACTTGTACTTTATCACTAACCATGTGGATATAATTCTGTTTCTGTTTTGTCATCACATAAAAACAAACTCTGTGGTTTTAGTCCGCAAGCTAACTATACTGACTGAGCGACCGCTTCTTGTTGGCGAAGTTAGTGCCAACTTTAGCAGATAGAAGGTGTCACATGGTCAGCACAATGAATCCCCATGGCCTTTAATTTTGGTTTTCTAGCCTGGATCCGCTATTTCCTTGACGTAGCTCCTCAGTTATCATCACGAGGCCGAGTAGACCCCATTCCAGACCCACTGCTTCTCAGAAAATCAGGTAGTGTCCGGAATCGAACCCAGACCTCTGGATCTGTAGCCAGGAACTCTGACCACTAGACCACAGAAGCATGCAGGCACAAATGACTTTCAATATTGACACACCTTTAAAAACACACTCGCAGGCACAACATATTCTTGGCAGTTGATGCTGTTATTAACTGAATTAATAATTATCTGACTCACCATCTCCATTAAGTTTGGCCCTAATAAATCTAATATTCTTTTAGCTTTCAAGGTGTTCACAACTTTTCATTGAACCTGAATATGTTTTACTGTGTTCAAAACAGCCAGCCACTGGTCCATATTCTGAGTCAATTGAATTTGGTTTGCACATTCAACCTTACTTCTTTAAAATCTATTTTAATATTAACTTTCCATCTACACTTAGGATTTCCAAATGGCCTCTTATATAATTTAGGAGAATAAGCTAGCCTTGGTCATGAGGGTCTCACAGTGCTATAGCCATAAGGTGACATTCACTGAATTGCAGGTTGTTATGAGTGACGATGTGGAAGAAGCACTCAGTGATTCAGAGTACCTTGAATTACTAAACAAACTGGCTCATCTTCCTGACCTGTCAGTCAGTAAAACACCATCCCAGCATGGATACACCATCAGTAGTCATAATATTCAGGATAATGTGATCGTTCTGGAAGCTGGCATTGTGAGTACATATGTGTCATGGTAACTAATATTTGCAAGTGGTCTGTTTTACTTTCCTCTTGCACACTTACACCCATAATATAGAAGGAGATAATTTCTGAGGAAATAACACCTTTTGGATTCAAAAAGAAAATCTATGCTGGTTCCAAAACATCCCCAATTTCACAGAAGTCCAGCATTTTGCTCTTGTGTGTATACTAATTTATTTCTGAATGGCTTTACATTGAACACTTCTGCCTCATACACAGAAGATACCTGGTTTGTGTCCGAAACAGAACTTCCAGATAGATTAATCACGATTCTGTATCATACATGCAGCATCATTGTATGTTGTTTCATTTATGAATTATACACTTTTTAAACTTAGTTTTTGACCTCCATCTAGTATCAAGGTTAAGAATGAATGGAGCTATATCCTGACTGCCCCAAATGTCTTAATGGTATGATGCTTAATTAATAACAGAGACTGCTCTTAACTTTACCTCATATCTGACAGCCCTTTTTCTGTGCAGTAAATATTCATTTTCTGAGATTTAGAGTATTCATAAGGGTGAAAATTAAAGGCATTAATCCTTTGGATAGTGACAACATGTAGTGTTATATGTGATTAGCAATATTTTGAGGAACCTTCAGCCTCCATCCTAAGGATAGAAGTGTGTCTGAAGATGGAGACAGCAGGTTCCTGCAAAATGTTGCCAGTCATTTTGAGACTACAGTGTCATAACGTGGAAGACTACAATTTATAAAGTTACTTCTCTGTGATTTTACCACTGCTTCCCCACACAGTCACTATATGTGAAGGAAGTAGGAAAATAAAATAATACCGGAGGAATACCATGGTTAATTTCAGCATCTGTAAATAATGCCTGATCTATAGTGATCACCGCTGTCTACAGATGTCAGGTGGCAACGAGGTGGCTAGCAGTTACCATTCAGTGCCTGAATCACTCAGTGAAATACTAGCTGGAGTGAGAATATCAGAAGATGATGTTGACAATGAGGTGAACAAGGCAGAGGAAGTGTTGCCAGATCTTGATTTGAATGATCTGGATATTAGTAGTAATGAAAATTCAAGCAATGATAGCTTCTTGGATATCTCCGAGGCAAGCAGCTTGAATGATGACAACTGGAGTGCTACCTATCCAGAGCAGGCAGTAGACAAGAAGTCTCACTGCCTGTGGAACTGTCAGAAATCAGGTTAGTTGTACACATTTTCCAACATTCACATAAATCCAATAATGTCACATATTGTTCTGTATAGTTTAAGACCTGTTCTCTTTCTCTCAGAAAGTACAAGTACTGAAAGTTGGATGTAAATTACTGTACCAAGAAGAATTTTTGGAATTGATTGCTAGTTTAATAGTTATTTAACTGTTTTTTCTCAAATGCATAGGTTATGTAGTGTCAAATTGGAGGATTTTTATGAATGATGATATCAGAAGTTTTTGTGGTTTTCAGAGAAGTGTAGGTTCATTTTGTGGTCTTCATGGTTATGACAGAGGCTTGTAGAGTGGTAGATGGGTACCAGTGTACGAGAGGAACATATCACCTCCATATTTAGGCTTTAAAGCTGAAGATGGAGTCTGAGAAATGTTGGTACCCACCTATCTGAGCAGATGATATTGCCATAGCACAGAGGACCATGATGTGAATTTAGAAGGATGTGGAAAGGGGAAATCATGTGGTGTTTTCAAATACTTTTCCAACATTTACCTGGATGGACAGAGAAAAAAATATAAGAACCTCAGGTTATCTCAGCCTAAGAATTAAATGTGGAACCTCAAAAATTCAGGATTGCTGCTACTAAATCATGACATTTGACATGCTCCATTTAGGTATAAGATATATATATATATATAATTTTTTTTCCCCCTTGGCACTACAGCCCCAGTGGGCCTACCTCCATGAACTTCTCCGTTCACTTGGGTTTTTCTAGATCTTACACATTCGGTAGAACTCCTTTGGCGGGTGATCAGCTCATCGCAAGGCCTCTACTTGTACACAAACATAGAAAAACGCACACACACAGACTAAACATCCATACCCTGAGTGGGATTCAAACCCACAATCCCTGTTTCCAAGCGAGCGAAGACAGTACATGCCTTAGAATGCTCAGTTACCATGACCGGCTCATAAGATATATATAGGGGCAGGTATTTGATGACAAAGTTCATGATTGTGTTCTTACCCATGCTGCCACTTCTCATCACTAACTGTATAGTCTAAACCATGATTTGTATCACCAGTCTTCCACTGTTATCTCTTTCCATCCACGGCAGCTGGCATCCTTTTTGTTTCTATATGACTCTCTCATATTCTGCTGAACTATGTCCTCCAATCTCTTCTTGTTATCCCTGTTGGCATCCTTTTTCAAAATACCTAGTATTGTTAGGATTATGCAGCAATGAAAGAGGTTGCATTTTGGTCACAGGTTGCAGAGGAGAAATACCAAGTTCGTATCATAGTAAAACTGCTATTATATATGCTTCAGTTCTTGTAGAGAAACAGTATAATGTCCGTTGAAGATTCAGTAGGAAGACCATCTATTTGTTATACAAACTTTTGTATCCCTCTCTCCTTCCTTCTTTTCTCTTCATCTCTCCTTTCTCTTGCATTTCTTTCCTATCCTTTTTGTTTATGTTCCTTATCATTATTCCTCTCACTTTTTCATCCTCTGTCTCCTTTATATTAAAACAATTTAGGTGAAATTGCCAGAAATACACGGTGTGTCAAGGATCCGTTAGGACTCATTTCTTTTTAATTTTGCCATGCAATGCCATATGTTGGCGAGTTGTGGCATTAAGATTCTTGAAGTTTCAGCTGTGGCTGTCTATAATTTCAAAGTGCAAGCATCGCTGCATCATGTGTTCTGACCTTGAATGTAACAGTACTGTTTTGATGCTCATCAGAAAATGGCAGTTGAACAGAGAGCCAGCATCAAATTTTGTTTGAAGTTAGGCAACACAGCTGGAGTAGCATATGAAATGATGAAAAGTGTGTACGGTAGTGAATATTTGAGTCGCTCAAACATTTTTCGATGGTATGCTGTATTTCGTGACAGCAATGGGGACATTGAAGATGCTCCACATGCATCAAAGCCGAGAACAAGTCACACTGAAGAAAATTTGAAGAAAGTGACCGAAATCCTTGCATCAGACAGATGTGTTTCTGCAAGACTCATCCAGGAGCTTTTGGAAATACCAAAGAGTACTGTGCATCAAATTTTGACTGAAGATTTGGACAAATGGAAGGTCTGTGCGTGGTTTGTACCACACTCACTGTCAGGCGATGAAAAACATGCCAGAGTGGAACACTGCAAAGACATGTTACAGTCGGCCCAAAGTGATACAAAATTTAGAAAACTGATTGTTACTGGTGACAAGACATGGTGTTTTCAATATGAGCATCTCACAAAGTGGCAGAGTGCAGCATGGTTGAGCCCAAAGAAGCCGAAACCAAAGAAAGTGTGCATGCAAAAGAGTCGAGTAAAGACACTGCTAACTGTTTCTTCGATTCCAAAGGAATCATTCTCAATGAATTTCTGCCAGAAGGTCAGACAGTGAATTCTGATTACTATCTTGGAGCCCTCAATCGTTTGTGGGCGAGAATTCTTGAAATTCGACCAGAATATTGAGAGCAAGGTTCCTGGTCACTCCTCCACGACAGTGCCCCACCCCACAAATCGAAGATCATGCGCAATTTTTTTTTTTGCCAGAAAAGGGATCACAGTCCTTGATCATCCTCCATATTCGCCAGATTTGGCTCCAGCAGATTTCTGATTGTTCCCAAAGGTTAAGTTGGTGATGAAAGGAGACCGTCACAACACCATCCATGGCATCCAATGGGAATGTCCCGCAGTTTTAAATGTGATTCCACAAAAGGAGTACAGTGACTGTTTCAGAAACTTTTCAATCAATTCCAGCTATATATTGATTCAGAAGGAGACTATTTTGAATAAAAAGAGCGAAATTTTGAAAATAATTCATGTCTTGTATTTTTAATGAACACAGTCCTAACAGAACCTGGACTCGCTGTGTATGCCATTACAGGAGAACAACAATGAAAATATCAGCTGTGCTATGTGCTTCTTTTGGTGTTTCATTTTTCCAAACTTCTCCATTGGCTGTGAGTGCAAACAGACATACATACACAAACTTAACACTATTTGTAAGACACTGAGGGTAACTATGCCTTCTGTGATCTCAAAGAAGCATATATCAAACTGGCATGCATATGTGTGTGTAATATCATTGACAAAATGATAGTTTCTCTCTCATTTTCATCGAACACTACTTTCTTTGGATTATAATATGTGGAAAGAGAAATATGCATGTATCCAATATCAATATATGAAAATAGTTTAAATTAATATATTTCAAGTACTGGTTTCTTCTGCTAGGTTCAGGGATATTGAAGTTCTTCCAGACATATGAAAAAGTTGCCCACCATTTGCTCTACTCAGTGTTGATTGGTCGAACAGTTGTGCTAGTGGGAAGTGACAGCTCTGAACCCAAAGTGGCAAGCATTATGAATGTCCTGTCACCTTATATACCAGTGATGCCAGGACAAGAAGTCCAACTTCTGAGGTATGTAGCCAAACTTCAGTGTGATCAAATTCCATATTAGGTTTCATCTTCAGAAACCATACAGTCCACTTTACCAGTAGTGACCGTTTCTAATACCAGTAGTTGTTTCGTATGAAAGGTTCCAATGATTCTCACCCGGTTCTTTGGTTTTCCTGCAAGTTATTTTGAACATAATTCTCACACTCTGAATGACTGCTGTCATCTGTGGAAGTAAACAGCACAATAAGGAACTTCATCATTTGTACTCCTTGCAAAATGTTACTAGAATATTAAATGAAGGAGAAAGAGATGTGCAGGCCATGTAGCATGCATAGGAGAGAAGAGATGTGTATACAAGCTTCTGGTAAAAAAACCCAAAAGAAAGATACTACTAGGAAAACCTAGGAATAGATGGGATGATAATATTAAAATGGGTCTGAGAGAAGCAGAATGATGGTGTGGACTGATATTTGATATTTGATATTTATTCAGCATTCCATAAATCCTTACATGGTTGTTTCAAAACACCACGGATATAGAAGTAGTCAACATGAGTAAGCATAATTACATACTGCATCACATTTGTGCAATGTCATAACAGTAGCCATATATAAATATTTACAAAAACATGAATACCTGAATACATGAACATGGATATAGAAGAAGTCAACATGAGTAAGCGTAATTACATACTGCATAACAATTGTGCAATGTCATAACAGTTAGCCATATATAAATATTAATAAAACATGAATACATGAACATAAACCGTCACATGCAACAATAAAGTGCTATTACCTACAATCTGTAACAAAATCAGGAACATCAGTTGTTATCCTAATTGTATTATGTTTATTATAATTTTATTTCATTCAAAATCCAAA